GGGTGCGTATATATTCCGAAGAATATGGTACCTAAATTGCGAGTAAAAGCTCAGTAACTGTTTGCTGATTGTTTAATCTAGGCTTCATTTAAATTATTAGAACTGTTCCTTTCACCCATAGCATAGTCTCGTTTTCTGCTTTACCAATTTTTTGAACATACTGGTACTTGTGATCACATCAAATTCACTTATGCATGCAGTACATTGCTTGGATTGACCTTGAACCTGAGAGTTTTCTTTTAAACGATCTTCCTCTCTTCTAACAGCCCAGCCGATGTAAGTGCTCCCACACGTTGGACAGAATAATTCATAAATAACACGTCACTATTGAGAAAACTGGATACGATCTTTAAACCTGAAAAAATTTCTGAATTTTCAAAACCGGACTGAACACACATTGAAGGTGAACTTGTTGATAGACTCTGTTGATAATGATAAAGACTCTTCTAACCCTGCAAATGAAGCCGAAATTAAACAGTCAGAAAACATCTACTGAGTATTTATTCGCTATTTCAATAAAGAAAGACCAAGTACTAAATTAATTTTACGAACATATAGAAAACGAAATATCAAGCAATTAGACATTTCTGTGAATATTTGAAAACATAACAACAATGTGTAGCTAATATCATGAAATTTAAAGAAATTAAACATTTCGGAAATAAGGTTATGAATGTTTAAAATGTTTGTTTTGTTTGAAGTTATGCACAAAGCTACACGATGGGCTATCTGTGCTCTGCCCATTACGGGTATCGAAACCCGGTTTCTAGCGTTGTAAGTCCGCAGACATACCGCTGTGCCACTGGGGGGCTGTTTAAAATGAAACATCAAGTAAGCACGTTATTCTGTGTATTTATAGAAAAAGGAAGCACCATCAAGAAGGCAGGCTTATGAATATTAAAAAGGCAATGCCAAGGAATTATGTAATTTTATAAACATTAAAACGACACATCAAATAATATCGTAAACATTTGAATAGTTTAACAGAGAAATACAAAGTAATTAATAGAGCCTGTAAACATTTAAAACATGCAACAACAATTAAAAAACAAGCATTTGAATACATAAATAAGGAAATATACGAATGTTGAAAAATTAAATATTAAATAAACGAGTAACTAAGTTAAATTATAAATATTTAGAAAGGAGGTATCAAGCAAGTAGATAAGTTTATTAATATTAAAAACATGAAGTAAAAAGTATATTTACGGCATATTTAAAAAGAAAAGAAGAAATTATTTAGTGCTTAAAACACCAGGTGAGAAGATAGTATTATGAATATTTTAACAAGGAAATACCAAATAGGTAAGCTAATGGTTTTCAAAAAACGTAATATCAATTAAAAGAAAAGAATGAAAGAACTGTAAAACACAAATAACAAGTAAATGCATAAGTTTACGATTATAAAAAATAAAAATTGAGTATAAAGGACTCTAAAATAAGTTTTCAAGCTTGTAACAAGTTATTCCTTTGAATATTTTGAACCAAGACATACCAGTTAAGATGGTAAACTTATTAATATTAAAATGAACACCAAGTAAACTCATGAATATAAAAAAAAGAAATACCAGTTGGACCTGGTAGGTTTATGAATATTCAAATATATATATATATATACATCAAACAAGTAAGGAAAGTTTAATTATTTTAAAATGAAACAGAAAGTAAGAAAGTAAACCTTGGAAAGCATTAAGTAAAAAATAATACACTGTCCAAATATCAAAATATCAACGAAGTAGATAGCATTAGGTAAATACGTAAGCTCGTGAATATTTAGTAAAGTAACAACAACTAAGCAAGTGTTACTATGAGTTTTTGTTGTTTTAATTTTTTTACTTGCATAAGTGAAATATGAGTATTTAAATTAGATAAGTGAGAAAGTAATTATCAATAACAGAAACAAACATTAACCCAGTAAACATTATATCTAATTTGGCATATCATTTTAGCCAGGTGAAAACAATGGTACTAAAAAAATTATTATACTTATAATGAATTAATTTATCAGTTGAGTATCTTCACTGTTATCGATATTTTCGCCCGAGATCACAATAATACTTCACGAGGTTCGGACGGCTTAGGAAGACTTAGGTTATTCCTAAGTCCATATACTAAACTAACAATGCAAAATACGTATATATAATAAATAAATTAAGATGATTAAAAATAGCGTATAGGCTATTTTCCGGCTAACAGGAAATATAGCCTTTGTGCTATTCGTCCGGCAAGAGTTTTACGCATGCGTGATACCGATATCAGCAACAGCATCCCCAATAAGTTGATAATTATAATAAGTTGGCAAACAACGATTTATAAGCATTATGAATTGATGTATTTTACTTAATAAGGTACCTAATAAACTGTGGAATAAATCTTATAAACTTATAAGATACTTGTAAGTACTTACTGATATGAGATAATTATACAGTTATTATAGCCAGAAGAATAGTCATCAGCTATTTGTCCATATAATTGGAAGAATGGCAACAGCCTAAAAATAGAATTATATATATATATACAAACTAAACATTTACTCAATGCCGTTAATGAAGCTAACATCAAGGTAACAAATGACTATAACTTAAAAACATATAATAACTAGTTGCTTCTTGCAACATCACTGATTCTCTGTACCTTGAATAGCATCACACGAGCATATGCAAAACTTTAGCATCACACGAGCATATGCAAAACTTAATATAATCCTGCTCGAAAACACATTTTCTCATTGATTTGTCTTTCCCATCGATCACTTAACATAACTTTTTAGTTTTTAAATATATGCCTAGAATATACGGCAGATTGTTAGGAAATGTAATTTGTGACACAGAATTTTCTTTTACCATAGGATGTTACCAAGGTAACAATTGTTGCGAAATGTACGCTGAGTGGGTGCAGACAAATCACTTTCCTCCTAAACTCCGTGCCCTGACCATGAACTCTCCATTAATCGTGAATCACGTGATGCGAATCTTCTACCTGTTTCGTAAAGGAATTTAAAGTGTTGGAGGCTTTTCACTAAGACAGTGACGGAACATCCACACACGGTAATTCTTTTATACCATTTATCATTACTGTATGTTTACTTACATTTTTAAGAAAAATAGCATCAAACAAAGATATATACATATAAGAATAATTATATGTTTCGCATTGAATACATGTATATTTACATTTGAGTTGCATTCAGGTTATAAACTCGCCTTTGTTTTTCATTTTGTAGTTTATGTTACACATTTATCGTGTGACCCAGAGAGAGAGAGTTATTCGAGTTTGCCTTTGTGATTTCTTTAGAGTTGGTTTTTAACTTCTGATATAAATATATATATATATATATATTTTTCATCAAAATGAGTTACAATATATATATCGATGGGTGCAATTCCACTGTACTAATTAATAAAACATTTTCAAGATAGTGTAGTATTGTTATAGACTTGTCATTAAACAAACTTATTTCAGGATTATAAATTTCAAATGATCATCATATGTTAAATCGTTGTATAGACTTCCACGCTTTTACTGATATATCTGATTGTATGATAATCCAAGCGTAACAAACGTAAAGATTTTGTATATATGTATTAAAAATGGCAAACTTAATAATTCGAGGTTTGTTGTTTTTTCAGTTACTATCCAAGTTACTTAATATAATGTTTGTTTGTTTGTTTTTGAATTTCGCGCAAAGCTACACGAGGGCTATCCGCGCTAGCCGTCGCTAATTTAGCAATGTAAGACTAGAGGGAAGGCAACTAGTCATCACCACCCACCGCCAACTCTTGGCATAATATAATGAACAACTTAGTTGTTAACTTAAAATTAATTGTAACTGTATGTAATAGAATAGTAATAGAAAACTTCAAGGAAAATAAATCAATATTATGATATGAATTTTTTTATATAGAATTATTTGGAGATGTAAGAACCAAAACCAAGTTGAATTCGAACACGTTAGTCCTTGCTGAATAGTCACTCAGGTGGTCAGCAGTAAGTTTGCGGAACTTAGAACCCTAAAGTCCGGAGCTCGATTCTCTATGGTGGACGAAACGCAGAAAACGAATTGTGTAATTTTGCACCAAAACAAACAAACCTCGCCGGTCAAATGTCATAATTAAGTTATCAATCATGTCATGAATTATAAGTCTCGGTTTTCTAACCAGCTGAAAGATAACAATAAAAGGATCTTGAACTTTGCCCCCCAGTGGCACAGCAACATGTCTGCGGACTTATACAGCTAGAAACCGGATTTCAATATCCGTAGAGGGCAGGGCATAAATAATCTATTGTATAGCTTTGGGCTTAACTACAAACAAATCTTGAACTTTACAGGACAGCTCAAAACTCAAAACTATCCTAAACAACTTATGATGTTAATATTGAAGTATATCTTTCTCTGCGTGGGTTAGTGGGTTAAAACATGAGATAATATTAAAACGTTAAGTTGTCATCATATAATTAGGAAATATCATGATATTGATATTTAATGAAATTAAGACCGCAGAACATTGGATTGAACCCGCTTCTTTGTTCGTCTGTTTCATGTTCTAACCCACTAAGCCAACATGCACCAACTGTAGTGCAACAAATGATGTTCTAATATATATATATATTGTTTAATTACTTGAAATCATCTATGAGCTGTATATTTCATTTTCCTATTGATTCAAAGAGTCCATATTATCATGTGGTTTCATACTTTATCATGAAACTGATACGGGCTTCCCCAATACCCTATGTATAAGTCAATCAATCTAACAATATTTTAATTTTTCCACTCTTAATAAGAATACGTGATTTTTGTGTAAAGATTAAGACAAGTTCTTAGAGACACTGAAAAATGTTATTTGATATTTTCTAGTTCAAACCTTACCAGTCTGATCTCATTGAAGGAATTTCAAAAAATGGAGCTTATTGCCAAACTTTCAAGAACAGAGTAAGTTTCAGACATAATTAAGATTTTAGAATATTAAGAATTAAGAAAGTTTTGAATTAGATTTAAATTATATCATTTACTTACTCAGTTGTTGGTCGATCAGCATATTGGTATTTACTAAACTCAGAATTTCTGCTTCTGAACCTAAAGAAATAAAAAATTACAATCAACACTAAACAAAGCAATCTAGGTAACAATATACTTTAGTATTTCAACGTTATAGCTTAAGATATATAAAGTTTAATCTAATTTATATACTACAGTATAGTATTGTATAGTATACAGTATATATAATACTTGTGAACGTGTTAAAATTAAGATATGTTTACGATATAATTTGTGTTAAAAATCAATTAGAGTAAATAACATTTTGAGACATTGACCCTAATATTAAGCTATCAATTTAGCATTCATTGTTATTAATTAAACTGTAAGCTGATGTAGAGAACTCTTTGCGTCTTTGTGAAGAGCCATTTAAGATCAATACCTAATTCATTGAAAGTTTTTGGGAATATATGGCAGGATGTTTACTGTCAAACCGCCTACATGGTGACCACATACTGTTCAAACTTACTTTCATACAGTTAATGATTTGTTTGTTTGTTGTTAAGCACAAAGCTACACATCGAGTCTATTGAAACAACAACCAGGTTAAAACTTTGTTGAATGGACGGCAATTGCCTGTTGTAGAAACACAAGTGTTTAGAACGACGTTTCGAAATATTCTGCCTTTCGTCTTCAAGTCTTTCGCCGTCCATTCAAAAAAATTTCATCCTGAATACTCTGAGTAAACAGTCTATCAAAGAACAACGAGGTTTTTGGCGTTATAAGTCTTGAGACTTACCACTTTGCCACTAGAGGGCTACAACCAACGAGAACGTCTTGTGTTCAGCAGCTTACTATAGAAATTTTATATTTAAAGCTTATACGTAGATATCCCAAATATTTAATGTGAATCAGAATTTTTACTGTTTCAGACTTACTCGTTTACTACCATTTGTTGTTGTGAAGAGACGCAAATATTCATTACACAGATTGCTGGTGACATTCTATAAAAAATAAGTTAGTATTTGATAAATAAAACAAAGGGAATTTTTCTTGGGCGTTTACTGATTTAAAACTATGGATGTAATGTACGTATTAGCTGTGGGAAACTTTTAAAACCGTCGATTACTACATATAAACATTATATTTTTATATTAATAAATATTGTAGATAGAGAACTGGAAGTTTCACGTTCGACTTAATTTTCCGTTATATCGCTTCGTGAAACAAATGGATGTGATTTCCTTATCATCCACGAGTGTGTGGTAAGCCTCAAATGTTAACTTGTCATTCTTGTCTTTAGCGCAAAGCTACACAATGGACTATTTGCACTCTCTCCTTGACGGAGAATCACATTCCGGATTTTACAGTTGTAATTTCGTAAAGTTACCGCTAATCCACCGGGGAAACTGAAATGTTAAAGACTACCACTAATATATATTGAATGAACATCCATATCAAGATGGATTCAATCTTTCCAATTTGTAATGAATTTATCTGGTTTGTTATCTAGGTTATCACGTGATAAACGAGCATAAATACGCCTACACAAAATTTCTCCTCAAGGTGATTTATTTCCTCAGTGATGCTCAGAAAGACGTTTGTGTAATACATCCTGAAATGTCATCATTCTTAGGTTTTACGTACCTGTGATTTGTATGTACAGAGTAACAATAATTCAAGTTGCTTTGCAAAAAGTTTGAAAAACAGTGATATTGGAAAGCTTGTTTGTAATCAAGCACGAAGCTACACAAAGGTCTATATGTGCTCTGCCCACCACGGGTATCGAAACCCGGAGTCTAGCATTGTAAATCCGCAGACATACCACTGTGCCACTAAAGGGCAATATTGGAATGCCCTGAAAAAATATATATATATCTTGAAAATAATAAATAACACACAACGCTAAAATAGGTACACAATTAAAACATTTTAAGTAAGATCAATATATGACCACTAGAAAATTGACTCTACATGTTTCGACGTTCCAACGTCATCTTCAGGAGTCAGTTGCAAGACATAATCGTGTCACATTTTTACTTTTTGTTGTTGTTGTTAAATAAATCATATGACCTATTTACAGGTTTACAATTCCCACCTGAACATTTTAGAGAAGGTCACCCCACGCGTTTGCATACATATTCGCCGGGCCTTCATCTCTATTCAATAATACATGATATTTTTTTATATTTCATTATTTCCAAAGATTCACGAATAATATTGGCTATAATACCTTTTTAGTTGAGCCAATATTACAGTTTTTTTCCCCAATATCTCTTTGTCAAGATCTTATGTACCTTATTATGAAAAGGATTATAGAAATGATTAAGAAAAGACATTTTGTTTTAAAATTCCTTTTGTATATTACAATGAATTAAATTCTAGACTATAATAAACTATTCATCATGGAGTAGAATACTAGAATATTTGATTTTACTAAACTCCAGCATAGTTTATACCTGTTCTCTTGCTAACAATCTAGCTTTGTAGTATTATAAAAATATATTTTTTTAAATGTGCAGATTCTAATATATATATATGTATATGATCTTATAACTGCCACCACCGGGGATCTATAAGAAAGAGTAAACTAGTACTTATTTTTTAAGTAAGACAGTGTTATAAAATTTAGCTTTTCTTTTCGTACAATTTCACTGGAGAAGCTATATTTTTCCTAACAATTAATACTAATAAGTGTCATGATAATAAAGCTTATATATTGAAATAATGTTATATGACCGTTCTTTAAGCCTAAACACATAAGACAATATCATAACACACACACATAAGCCTAAGTTAGTGAATGACATAAGACAATGTGATGTCATTTTGACAGCCTAAACACATAAGACAATATCATAACACACACATAAGCCTAAATTAGTGAATGACATAAGACAATGTGATGCCATTTTGACAGCCTAAGCTCGTAATGTCATACTATAACTGCTCCGTAAGCCTAAACTCAACAGAATGTTATGTCTGAAGTGGTAAAACAGCATTAAACGCCACTTCATTGACCTCGTAAGGCATCATTGTTTCTTCACTTCTTAAGCATAAGCTCATAATATAATATTTAATCACCATTTCTATGGCTAAACTCATAAAACAGGAATATAACATAATTAATCCTCTTAAGCTTAAACTTTTGGTTCGTCAGTTCTTCGGAATAACAAGCAGGTTAATTCAAGAAAATATGAATTGATAATATATGACGGTATTTAGATAAATAATATGGGGTTAAATAATCCACATCGTCAAGTTGCGAAATAAATAAATAAAACTGATGGAAAATTACATGTCACCAATTTTAAAATAGTTCATACGGTAACGGTCTTTATCAAGCAATTTTATCATATACTGTGTGTGCGTTTTCTTATAACAAAGCCACTTCGGGCTATCTGCTTTGTCCAGTGAGAGTAATCGAACCCCCTGATTTTAGAGTTATTAAACCGTAGACTTACCGTTGTCCCACCGGGGGATAATAATATACTAGCTGGAATACCCGTCCGTTCGATGGGTGAAATATAAATTCGTTTGTAACAAAGGATATGAAATTGTTCTTCTATCCTGTTCTTAACATAATAAACATTAAAAGTACAATATAAATACATAAAGGTAACAAAACTGAAAAGAAAGACATACTGTCTTCAATAATTCTACCAATAGTGGTTGCATAGTTCATTCTAAGGCTGAATGATATATAACATTGATAGTTTTTTCGAAATTAGATATTAAATTAGTTGGAGGGTCCAATCCTCATGACGTTTCCCATGCCATCTTGTATCACTGTGACAAGTTTGGTGCTGATTGATCAAGAAATGTGGAAACGTATAAGGAACAGATACACACACACAAATATTGAAAAAGTGATATAGAATGACATGAGGGGGTTGGACTTCATCTTCTATATACATAAACATCTATATACAGTATTTATTAAGTGAGCCGAAGTTTGACATGATGCTGTACTAGTATATGTTAAGTGAGCAAAGGCTTTATGTGATACTGTGATAGTACTTATTAAATGAGCCAAAGCTTGACGTGATGTTGTACTAGTACTTATTAACCGAGTCAGAATTTTGTCAGAAAAGTCTATGCTTTTTAAACAGGATTTCCATATGTTAAGGCCTCTAGGCAGGGCTCTTCAGGCCGGCTGGAATACGACAGATAAAGTAATGGAGGAAATGCTATATCTAATATGTATAGCTAAATTTGTGTCTGTTTGTTCACACGTTTCCAACCATCTGTACCTTATACGTTTCCACATTTCTTGATCAGTCAGTATTAAAGGCTTTGTGTGATATTGTGATAGTTCTTATTAAGTGAACCAAGGCTTGACATGATATTGTACTAGTATTTGTTAAGAGAGCAAAGGCTTGACGTGATATTGTACTAAAACCTTGAGACTGATAAAGAACTAAAACAATTTAAGAAACTTTACTTGTGTGATAAGCAAAACCATCTTTAAGTTTATTGTAAAACGTTGTTTGCTAGTTCTTATTAAGTGAAGGAAGGCTTGACGTGATATTGTAATATTAAGTGAACCAAGGCTTTGTGTGATATTGTGATAGTTCTTATTAAGTGAACCAAGGCTTGACGTGATATTGCACTTGTATTTATTAAGAGAGCAAAGGCTTGACGTGATATTGTACTAGTATTTATTAAGTGAGCAAAGGCTTTGGGTGATATTGTACTTGTATTTATTAAGTGAACCAAGGCTCTACGTGATATTGCATTGTATTTATTAAGAGAGCATGTGCATAAAATATAAACATTTGTTGATTTTTGTGTTCTTCGGCATATGATTTTACGTGGTGCAAGTCTGAGTTAGGTCTAGTCTAAGACGCAAGTTTCGACGTTTTTGCTTTTCTAATTTACATTATCACATATCATTAAGATATGATTTGCTAATAAAACTTTATTGGCATTATTATATTTGGGAAAACTTAACAATCGATACAATATATAATATAAAACAAATATAATATTCTAAAGACGAAATCACAAAAATAGCACTTTAACAATAAGCAATAACATTAACTAAGTACAAAATGATCCTTTTAACAAAACATGCGTATTATATGTTGACAAATAACCCTTTGTCACAGAATAAAAATACAAAAATAACACAATACAGTAGTACAAGAAACAGTACACAAGGGATGCCGTTTAACATTAATTACCAACAACCACATCACACAAATAAACTCTTCAACATAATAACGATTTATACAGAAACAATCTCTTAAACAATGTTTATTGTATAAATATTTCAAAATAAAAGAACTTACTATACATAATAGAAAACCTTATTACAAAAACAAGCCTTTCAATAATGAATATAGAAATAACCATTTTCGATAAACGTCGAGACGAAACAAACTCTAATTACGATAATAAAGTAATATAACATCATTTTGTACAGATATCTATTTTAAATGCCTTATAAGAATGCAAAAGCAACGGTCCAAGTCAACGTAAATTACGGGTTTTACTTGTGGATACAAATTGCAATATGAAGATGGATTTAACCATTTTGTTTACAGAAAAAGAATCATAATGGCATGCATTACAAAAAGTGAAAGGAACCACTCCAGTCTCAGAAGAGGTAAAATCTCTATATTAAACTATAGTGCAGGTTGGGTCAACTTCTCACTAATGTTAAAAACACAGGTAACCACTCTGAATTACTGATGACAAGGGGTAAACTCATAAACAAAATTTTAATAATAAATTAAAACAGATCGATTCTTAATACGTTGGTCACTGATAATAAAGGTATACATTATGTAAGATACAGCGATTAGTAATCTTAGAGTTATTAGCAAAGAATGTCATTGTTTTAAAAAACTATTTCTATCAAAAAAAGGGTAACGTTTTAAACTCATGTAAGACGATTTTCCATAAATAGAAATAATATAAAAAAAGGTTTTGCTACACTTACTCAGTGATGGGCGAGATTTGTGTAGAAGAAAGAGCTTTAGATTGCCCCAAAATGGTCGTCG